ACACTACACACACACACACACACACACACACACACACACACACACACACACACATATATATATATATATATATATATATATATATATATATATATATATATATATATATATATATATTAAAGTACAGATGTTACATATCGTAGACAGCAATTGCAGCATAATTCGAAAATATGATTTATATGATGCATGTCTTGATTTTCAGGCTGCCAGTCAACATATCGCACAGCAAAAATGCTACAATATATCGCTTGCTTCCTGCAAGTTCTCCTTTTGAAACGCTAAAATGTTTTCTTGGGCATAGCTCGAGAGCACGGAACATAGTTGTGTCAGAGAGCGTCATATGTCACTGTATACACGGATATATTTCCTTTGACACGTTAAGATACATAACTAGAACTCTATATCACCAATTCGTGAGGGTCTCATGGCCTTTGGTCAACGAGTACCTAATCTTCGGCACCCGCCGGCCGGGCCCTAACACTAATCCTAGTGTGGTAGTGACAATAAATATAGCGTACACCTGTACATATATAGTAAAATCATAGCCTTCTCGTATAATTTAGAAGGCTATGTAAAATTTTACATAGCCTCTCCTTGGTGTTTATAAAAAAAAAATTTAATCACAGAAAAGTCTGTAACATTATTTTCTTTCTTCCGTGTTACCAGAGCCAACAACCGATTATTTATGTATTTGTTACACAGTTGTTGGCATCAAACATACATTTTCAGTTTTCACAGGTCAATTAATCGGTGTCATAAAACTGGCACTCTCTGAAAAACAAAGAAAATATAACGATAAATATGTGATGATGTGATTGATAAGATGATTCATTAATTTTTCACCGACATAACCTACATACTGTACCACGACCATGTTTTCAAGGTAAAGATTGTGCAAACCACTATCTAGAACAAGGTTCCTATGACCATTTGCCCAAGTGTCGTATTTGTTCGAATTGACAAGTATGCAAGTCTGAAAAACCAGCTTTCGCCCGAGTGTGTGCTACATGTGGAAGAGACAGTTTGCGTACAAGCGACAGTCATGTCAATACATACATGCTCTTCAGATGTGTATCTGTACATTGATTGCTTTAATTTATTATGTATATACAGGTACAAAAGAAACTTCGTCTACACATCCACCCCGGAGGACGACCTCACGTGCTCCATATGCAGTGACGCATATTCGGAACCCCTCGACACTAAATGTGGACATACCTTCTGTAAGGATTGTTTATCAACATGGATGAAACGAAAGAAATGGTAAGTAAGTGCTTGCTTGTGCTTACGGCAATTCGTACCAGTAGGTAAGGTAAAAGCACAGATTATATGTGTTGGTCTATTTCCTTGATAGTTTCAAAATTTAACTTATTAAATCACTATATAGGAGTGTTTGTGCGGATATTAGATGGCCGTTCTTTCAAAAGTTTGTTGTAGTGGATTAAAAAAAAGCTTCTTATCCCAACCATTAATGTGCGCTACTACTATCCGATAAGTACTCAGCCGCAGGGCATGTATGTCGCGCAAATCTCTTGTTCAGCCACTCCGATCTAAGTTACCTATCCGCGATTCTTATTCATTCCGACAGTTGTCCTTTAGATAACATCCATGTCAGTAAGAAAAATCTGAAGATTACCGACTCAACGGTTCAGGACCGATTAGACGAGCTAGAAATCGCGTGTGTACACTGCAGGTATGTCTTTTCTATGTATATTACTTATCGTACTTTCAAGTGCTAATTTGTCCTCACGTACACACTTTGTGTGACTGGGAATATGTCTGATAGGTCTTATGAGCTATACATATATACTCATATGTACTTGTATTCGAACACACACACACACACACACACACTCACACACACACACACACACACATACACGTGCACACACACACACACACACACACACGTAGTACACACACACACACACTACCACCAACCAC